TCAAAAATTATCAAGACAGATTACAACTTAATGGGTTAGACTTAAACCATAAAAACCCTAGGAAGAAAACTTGGTAGATACAATTCAGGACATACGCCAGGGCCAAGCGACTTCAATGGTCTAAAACACCGAACAGCAACGGCAACAAAAAGGCCAAAATGTGCACAAATGGGATCTATTAGAAAGAGCTTCGTGACACAGCAAGAAACGTACCCCATCGAGTGAGACAGGCAACCTACAGAATGGGAGAACATTTGGTTGTTTGCAAATCTACTTCTCTGATCAAAGGGTATGTTATTCAAAATTCTACAAGAAACTGAAAAAGAAAAAAACAAACCATGAAAAAAAAAACTATAAAAACCCTTTCAAAAAATTCTGAAAGCAACAAGAACCATGAAAAAATATTATCTCTGGAGAATAGCAAATTCAACACAAAGACTCATTAATTGAATGAATCCATAAAAAAACAAAGGTGCTGGGGAGAGAATGTGGAGAAAATAAACATTTTATGTTGGTGGTAAGATTCAACATTGTGGAAAACAGTTGGTTGATTTCCTCCAAATCTTTTAGAAGGTTAGGAAATAATTGTATTTGTTTGACCCAGCCATGATTTTTGTACTGGCGTATACGCGGTATCCAGAGGATAATCATGCGGCTATTAAAGGCAAGGTGCCACACATGATGTTATTGACTATTCACAATGCCAGACTGGGAACAACCCGAATGTCGCGTCAATGATAGGGACTGGGATAAGGAAAATGGGTTGGCACATTATACACGCATGGAATTACTTATGCAGCCACATTAAAAATGATTGAGTTGCATTTCTTTTGGTGGGACATGGATTGCAGCTGGGAAAACCCATCATTCTCAGGGCAAAACTATCGCAAGGGACAGAAAAACCAAACCCTCCACCTGTTCTCCACTACTAGTGGTAACTGCAACACCCATGGAGAACTTGGACACACGGAAGGGGAACATACACACTGGGGCCTGTCGTGGGGTGGGGAGGATGGGGAGGGATAGCATTAGGAGAATACCTAATGGTAAATTGACATGGTTAATAGGGTTGCGAGGCACCACCAACAGGGGCACATGATACTACATAGGTAACACAAACCTTGCAAAGTTGGCACAGTACCCCGTATAACTTTAAAGTATAATAATAATTTTTAAAATACCCATTAAAAAAAGGGAACAGACTCTATCCACTTAAACAAAAGAAGAAAAGAAAGAAGGAGCAGGAAAGAGACAGAAGAAGGGAAGGAAGAAGCATAACAAAGAAGAAAGAAAAACCACCATCAGGCCCAGACAAGATTTATATTTGAGTTCAATCAAACATGAAAGACAATTCCATCTTAAGTATACTATCACAGAGAATAGACCAAGAAGGAACAGAGAAATTGACACATTTTGTGAATTTAGTTTGACGACAATACCAAGGGTAATCTCAACAGTATAGACAGAAAAATCTTAAACTTTACTTCCATGATTATAGAAGTAAAAGAGTAACATCAGTGAAAATGGTGGAGTAGGTAGTTCCAAGGGCCTATCCTTCTCCACAGCAATAGGGGGAAAAAATGAGTAAAAACCGTCAGAATGAACTTCATATAAACTATAGAAAATAGGCAAAGATATGCAGCAATCAGATAAATGCTGAATCAAGAAAACAGCAACTAAAAATGGCAGGAAAGCTGTGCAGCATTTTTACTTTCCCTTAACCACCCACTACCCCCACATCCTGCCTAGCAACCCCTGCTTCACTCCCCCTAGTTAACCCTAGTTAAGCAAAGTCTTGAAGATGGCAATTGGTGTTCCCAGTGTGAAACTCTGGTCCCTGGCTCTGGAGTGAACAGAGCTGACCTTAATCTCAAAAAACCGTTTTTTTCTCTTTAGACCTGACTGGGGACTGACTGAAGAAATGATGCAAAGAGCACACCTATGTTCCACTTAATTCAGGACTTTCTCGGGGCAGAAAAGCAGCTACACAGAAGACATTCATTGAAAACATTGCAAATGAACAACCTGGGGCAGAGGCCTAAAGTTGAGGCAAACAATAAACACACTGAAAACACACTGAAAACCAAAAAAGACACGAGAGAGGAGAGTTTCTTTGGGAAATGACGGCACTGAAAAGCATCACTATGTATTGGAGAGTAGAAAAGCCACATGCATGCCCAAGGAATGGCACTTAGAAGAAAAGACCCTAAGCTTTCACCTCAAGCTGTTCTTTAGAGTCAGCACAAGCAGGAAGGGAAGGCTAAGGCAGAGTTGTAAATGGACTAGGTAAACACTGAATGAGTGCCCCAACATAGAGCCAATCTGCAAAGACTGAAAGAGTTGTTCTTTTCTATTATTTTCTTTTGGCTCTAGGAATTCAATAAAATCTGTCAAAAAAAAAAAATCTTACAAGCTAAAAATCAGTCTTACAAGCTAAAAATCTTACAAACTAAAATCTCACAAGCTAAAATCTGACTAGCTAAAAAAAATCTTACAAGCTGAAAAATCTTACAAGCTAAAAAAATCTTACAAGCTAAAATCTTACTACAAGCTAAAGGATCAGAGATTTCAGAGACTACACACAACAAAAAATACAGACTTTACAATATAGTCAAGATCACTGACTAGAGGTCTCTCATATCCACTTCCCCCACTAAAAACTAAAACCATGAGTATATAATCACACTTTGAGTAGATTATCCAAGAGGAACACTGGCATTCAATAGAAAAGCAAGGAAGGAGACGGAACAAGACAGTCTGCTCTGCCGGGAGTGGCAAGAAGCTGGAAGAGACTCCACATACGGAAAGGGTGAGAGATGCCCAATGGTCCACATTCCTACTGTGAACCCCTGCAATTTTAGTCACAGGAAAGACCCTAGACCCTTGCAGGACAAAAAATTAACATAGAGGGCTGCCCAGAGACAACACAAAAGCATTTCCTATTCCAGTGAGGAAGTTCACTCTGGGTCCCACACTCCCCCTGAGTCCTAAGCAGCTACAGCAAGGTGATATTTTGGAAGCCCAGCTCACAACAGAATGCGTACTCCCCTGGGGCCCAATGGCACCATAAAAAAGAATGTAATCATGTCATTCACAGCAACATGGATGGAACTGAAGGTCATTATGTCAAGTGAAATAAGCCAGGAACTGAAAGACAAATATCACAAGTTCTCATTCATGTGTGGGAGCTTAAAAAGTTGATCACATGAAGGTAGAGTGGATTGGTAGCAGGGACTGGCAAGGTTATATAGGTGGGAAGGGGGAAATGAAGAGACGTTGGTTAATGGGCACAAAAATACAGACAGAAGGAACAAGTTCAAATGTTTGACAGAAGAGTAGGGTGACTATAGTTAACAACAATGTATTGTATTTTTCAAAATAGCTACAAGGAACTTGAAATGTACCTAGCTTCCTCCAACTTACAGTTAACGGTTATTCTGACCTATACTGATCTTAAATTAAACAGAATAAATTGATGTCATCATACATTCTTATAAATACTATATTAGACATTTAATTTACCTCTACAAATAAAATCATATTACAATTCTTCAAAACAAAGCTTATGCGTCAACTAGTCTTTCTATTAAAAGAACATTTAAAAATGAGATACCATGATAATAGGCTCTATAGTAACCTCAGTGGTCTAGTAAAATGTGTTAGCTCTACAGAAAGAGTTCTCTGGTTCATAGTTTTGGTCCACAGATAATACAATCAGGTCTCAAGAGTAAAAATGATTTCAAGATACACCAAAGATGTGAGAAATATATATATATGAGGAAAGACTGGCAAAGGTCTTCAGAAGCTAACTAGAAGAAAATGATGGTTTGTCAACCATTTAATCAAGATTTTAAATCAAATACATATTTCAAAACATTAATTCTTTGCTTTCATGTTGCTCTCAGGATCTAGCTTTAATATTAAGTTATGTCATGAGATAGCCCATGACAGGATGTAGTTATATATGTAATTATAAAGAATACTCAGCAAACATTTATGGCCATCAAGTTTGTTTTGACACCTAGCCCAAAGCAGATTCACCATAAGTTGTACTCCAGTAACACTTTCATTGTCTATGCATGTGAAAACACACATGCCAGACATACAAGCATTAAAATATATATATATATAAAATGCATGTACCTAGTATTAGCATAATTAAAACAATAATACATGGATTAAAAAGGAAAAGGCTGTTTTTTAATACTTACCACAAGCTTTAGAAGCAGCAATACAGATTTCTTCTGCAACATACTCCCCAGATGGAAAGGTCAGATAATCTGCCTCAGATTTCCCAAGGGAATGGTAAAGATACACCTGAAGGACTGGATCTATTTGCTTCATAGAATTGGCATTTCCAGAAATATCACCATTCTGATATATAGAAGATGTGGATGTTCCCTCCATTTCTGTCATAGTAAGGCAGGCCATTCCCGTGCAGAGTCTTTTTCAGAATATTTGCCTGTAAGAGAAAACAATAAAGTTACAAATGGGCTGGGCGCAGTGTCTCACACCTGTAATCCCAGCACTTTGCGGGGCCGAGGTGGGCAGATAGCTTGAGCCCATATGTTGGAGACAAGCCTCAGCAGCATGGTGAAACCTCGTCTCTACAAAAAAAATACAAAAAAAAAAAAAAAAAAAAAAAAAAAAAAAAAAAATTAGCTGGGCGTGGCAGCACACACTTGTAGTCCTAGCTACTCTCCGAGCGGAGCAGAAGAATCACTTGAGCCTGGGAGGTTGAGGCTGCAGTGAGCCTCCACACTCCATCACACTCCAGTCTGGGTGACACAGCGAGACTGTCTCAAAAATGAATGAATGAATGAATGAATGAATGAATGAATGAATAAATAAATAAATAAAGTTACAAATGTAAATAATATTGATAAGGCATCCTTCACATACAAAGAAGGACTGCTCCTTGACAGCAATGGCTGTCAAATCCATTAGCTGGATAAATAGCGTGTACTACTACATACAAAGCACAATGCAAGAAATCACACATTTTAAACTTCCTGTGGACAAAGATTATAAAATTCCAGTTAACAACCTAATTGAGGAAGATGATATAAATTCCTAACATGAACAAACAAGCATTAAACTTAGTTACAGACAACAGAAGAAGAGATCTCAAATTGAGGGAAGAGGGGTCCAGAAGGCTGACTAGAAGTATCTGGTACTAGCCTCCTCCACAAAGAAGAACCGAAGTAGCGAGCGGATAATCACACTTCGAATAGGTTGTCTAAGAGAGAACACTGAAATTCAACAGAGAAGTGATAGAAAACACCTAAAGCAAGGAAGGAGAGGGAAGTGGGGCAGCCTGCTCGGCCAGGATCAGCCGGAAGCCTAGAGAGCCTGCACAGTGTGGGGAAAGAGTAAGTGAGAGACTCCCAGTGGCACACATTTTCACCACAAATTCCTGCAATCCCAGACACAAGAGAGCCCTTCAACTTTCATGGGCCCTGGGAGTAACATAGGAGCTGCCTGGAGACTGCACAATGACAATGCCTTAGAGAGGGAGCTTACGCTGATCCAACATACCCCCGATTCCTAAGCAGCTACAGCACAGTGACATTTTTAAAGCCCAACCCCCACCAGAATGCATCCTACCCTGGAGTTCAATAGCCCCCACATATCCACACCCCTAGAGCCCCACTGACATCCTCCACCCACAGTTACCTCCACTGCTGGCTGCTGCCTATGGGACCAAAGCACAAGCCATTGGCAGTAACCCCACTGCTCCCAGCAGAAGGGCTGCCATACATTTGTATGTGCCCTGAGGACAAGCTCTACCACCTACAGCTGCCACCATTGCAGGCTGCTGCCACTAGTGTCAAAATACATGCACCCTGAGTATAGCTTCATCACATCTGCAGACTCCACCTGCAGCTGCAGTGCACACTCCCCAGCCAGCTCCCTACAACTGCTCCCACTGAGAGCAACCCCACCCCTCCCCAGCATCAGGGCACAGCACAGCCACTGCCGCCCCAACCTGTACATTCTACCAGGAAATTGGAAATCATCCTGCTCCCGCCCACCATAAACAGTACCTGCTCCCACTACTGGAGGACCTGAGGATACTCTCATCCTGCTCAGTTCAGCACCCCACTGCCAAGTACCCAAGCATGTTATCTGGGGGCCTTGGGATCGCACCAGTTTGTCCACATCCAGTGTCAACTGAGCATTCCACCTGGGGGTCTGAGGATGTGACCCACCCAACCTGCCACTACCACTACAGCTGGTTCCCACTCACACTTGCCACCTGCAGGTTTTGGGACTTGCCTACCCAGCCTATCGCTGTCACCGCCAACATAAGCACAGACAATTGGAGAGCCAGAGGTTGTCCTACCATTGCTACTGACATGGCCTATGCCATGCTCACTGCCCAGGGGCCTGTGGACCCACTCAGTTGCCCAGCCCATCACTGCCACTGCTGGTACCCAAACAAGTTACCTGGAGACCCAAAAATTGGACTGCCTGGACCCACTAATACCATTACTAATGTAAGCCACCCTGGGGCTAATGTACAGGCATGGCTGTCCAACTGCTGCCACCACTGAGGACTGAGGATCGGTCCAGCTGGTGTCACCATCCCCAGCAAAAGTTCACCACAGCCTTCACAACCACACACTATGCCACTGAGGAAATCACAGACACCACTGATGCTGTTTACAGAGGAAAAAAAATCTTACAGAGACTACATTACTGCATGCACTCAGATTCAAACCCAAAGTGCCCTGGCCAACCAACACCCCAAACAAATCTTCAGGAAAAAGTCCTACCCTATGAAAGCAAATACAAAAAAATGGAAGTGACTATTACACCAGATGTGTAAGGTCACAAGAAACATGGAAACAAGAGGAAATATGACATCTCCAAAGGATCACAATAATTTTCTACCAAAAGATTCCAATCCAAAAGAAATTCATGAGATGCCAGAAAAAGAATTTAAAAAATGATATTAAAGCAGCTCAGGGAGATACAAAAGCATACAGATAAACAATACGAAGAAACCAGAAAAAAAACTCAGGATATGAATGAGAAATTTACCAGAGAGAGATATCATTTAAAAAGAAAACAAGAAACCCTGAAACTGAAGAATTCATTTAATGAAATAAAAAATACATTCTAGAGCATCTATAATAGACTAAATTGAGCAGAAGAAAATTTCTGAACTTGAAGACAGGTCTTCTGAAATAACACAGACAAAACTAAAAAAAAAAAAGAATGAACAAAGCCTGCATGACATACGGGATACCATAAAGCAACCTAATATTAGAATTTTCAGTATTCTGGAAGACAATGAAAATACAAAAGGAATAGAAAACCTGGTAAATGAAATAATAGCTGAAAACTATCCAAGTATAGCAAGAGATTTAGACATCCAGATACAGAAGGTCAGAGAGCCCCAAAAAGAAAATTCCAACAGGTTCTCTACAACACATTAGAGTCAAACTGTCAACAGTCTAAGACAAAGAGAGAATTCTAAAAACAGCAAGAAAAAAGTGTCTAGTCACTTCTAAGGCAAGCTCCATCAGACTAACAGCAGATTTCTCAGCAGAATCATTACAGGCCAGGAGAGAATGGAACAACAAACCTGACAAAAACAAGAAATGGGGAAAGGATTCCCTATTTAATAAATGGTGCAGGGAAAATTGGCTAGCCATAAGCAGAAAGCTGAAACTGGATCCTTTCCTTACTCCTTATATGAAAATTAATTCAAGACAGATTAGAGACTTAAATGTTAGACCTAAAACCATAAAAACCCTAGAAGAAAACCTAGGCCAATATCCTTCAGGACATAGGCAATCGGGCAAGGAC